TTGCCCACGAAGGAGAATGGTAAAGATGCACCCGCGTCTCGTGCTACACCGTTGAGCGGTTGTGCCTTAGCGTTAGCGGCCTTGAGCCAACCGTCTCGTCTAGTCCACCGTAGGCCAACCCTCTTGGCCTCGTCTTCGGTGATGAAGTTGTGGGTCGCTCCCGTGTCCACCATCACCTTTGCTGGGGTACCGTTGATGTGGGCCTCCACGTACATCAGCCCCTTGCTTGATGTTGCCGGCATCGGATTTGCCTTTAAGGCGCTCAGGAGTTGGAGCGATCCCATGTTGCCTAGCTCCTCGTTTGTGTCTTGCTCGGTCTCTTGTTGTAAGAGCGCCGACAATGACCCCATCTTGGGACATTGACTCATCGCGTGCGGCCCCTTGCACACGAAGCATCCCCCCTTAGGCACAAACGACTTCTTCTTCTCTTCAAGTTGATGGCGTGAGGATGGCTTGTCTCCTCCCCTCGAGGTTGACGCTCGCCTTGGGTCTCGGTTGTCTCGGTAGTCCCGACCATGATTGTCCCGTCTCTCTCCTCCGCCTTTAGTCGGGCTCCACTTCTCTTTTCGCAACGGCTCTCTCGGTTGATACTCGGTTAAGGACTCGGCGGCGGCAATAGCTTCATCGACGGATTTGATGTCTCGTCGGTGGAGTTCTTGCTTGGCCCAGCCTTGTAACCCATCGGTGAAGTGGAAAAGAAGGTCCTCCTCGGAAAGGTTGGGAATTTGAAGGGTGAGGGTGGTGAACTCCGTCACGTACTCGCGGATTGAACTTCGTTGCTTGAGTTCCCTCAACCTCCTTCGAGCCTCATAAACGACGTTCTCCGGGTAGAAATGTCGCTTGAGTTCCCTCTTGAACTCCTCCCAAGTATCGATTCGGCAAATGCCTTTCTCGATATCGGCGTGCTTCCTACGCCACCACAACATTGCCGTATCGGAAAGGTAAAGGGAAGAAGTTCTTACCTTAGTCGTCTCGTCGACTAGACCGATACCCTCGAAGTATTGTTCCATCCTCCATAGGAAGTTCTCGACTTCCTTGGCGTCCCTTACGCCGTTGAATCCCGTTGGCTTCGGGCAGTCCACCCTTGGACTCGAAGTAGCGCCAACGCTACCGTTAGCGGCGGCCTTTTTGCACAAGGCCAAGTCGTCGCGCATCCCCTCGATGCTCTCTTGGAGGGATTGGATGATGGCCTCCAATCGATCCAACCGTTCCTCCCGCAACGCCTCATTGTCCCTAGACAAATCGAGTTGCTCGGCAACGTGATTCTCCAACACTCCCGTATCGTGCTCGAGCTTCTCGAATCTTTCGCTAAGCTCCGCTATGGCGATGTTATTCTCGAGCCTCTCGAGTCTTTCGCCATGATCCGTTAGCACGGCTTCGGTACTGGTACTCTCCCCACGAGCCTTGCTGTGGTCCCTCTTCTTCTTGTTGTTTACGTGGGCCTCCCTGCCACGTCCCTCGGTCACGTACGAAATATCTTCGACGTTCGCCATCGTTGGGTATTCGATCAACACAAAGCCCTTAGCCGGGCTCTGATACCACTTGTCACGGACTTGTTCCCTTAACAAAGAACCGTGCGGCCTTAGCTCCTTCTCGCCCCTCGCGATAGCTAAGTCAGCCTCTCCCGAATGTGTTGCTCGAATGCTAAGTGATGGAAAACGAAGAAAGAAAGTAAGAAGACAAGAGAGTTGGTAGAATAATACTTTATTGGATATGTTGGTGAATGATTACAAATGAGGTCCCTACCTCTATTTATACAAGACCACCTCCTCAATGGACGGTGGAGATCGATATGATCTAACGGATGGGA